TGGTAAGAATAAACTGTGATTACAACACTGTTATATTCCTGCTAGTATACTGTGTAATACTACCATTTGATAAATCTTCTCTATAATAGAAGTATAAAACATAAGCAATGTAAAATGAAATAAAATCTCATTCTTTTCTCATTACTCCAATCACGATTTTTAGGGGGCACCTGCCAAGAGTTTGGGTGTGTATTTCCAGATATTTTCTATACATATGCTAGTATACATTTATATATACATAGTTTTCTTCCCCTATGAATGGGGTTATACTAATGGGAATAGATATATCTTATTTTTTCCCCACACAGTAATACAATTGGGACATCATTCCAGCCTTTCCATCTCAGAAAGTAGGAGTCTGCCTCATTGTAAAACTATTTTTATTATATATGCCCTTATATACAATTTTGTTACATGCATGGCTGTGGCATATTTATTATTTTTAACAGAAATATTTGATACAATCAAGAGTAAATGTAATACATATGTAATTTATGGAGCATAATAATACAATGAGTACCCATGACTCTACCTGAACTTGAGAAATAGGATGTGAGCAATACTGTGGAAGTGCTGTGTGTGTTCCTCCCATTCTCTCTCCACCTCCCCACCAGGGGTCCCCAGTTATTCTCATGCTTCCCTTACTCTTTTAGCATGTATGTATTTGTCTCCAAGTAATGCATTGTGTGTTTTTGCCTGTTTTTATTAATTTAAGAATGGTATCATGTTGATGAGATCTGTGATTTATTTTTTTATTCAATATTATGTTTCTGATATCCATGTCAATGTATTTAGCCCTATTTCATTTCCACTGTTGAATAATACTTCACTGTGTCACTATACAACAATTTATTACCAAAATTTATCTGATTTTGCATTGTTCTTTGTTTTCTGCTATGACAAACAATGCTATAAAGATTGTACCTGTCTCCTGTTGCATTCTTTAAAAATATTTATATTGTATGGTTGACCATAATTAATTATTCCTTTGTTTATGTATATGAGTGTGTGTATGTGTATGTATGTCTATATCTGTTTTTCTGGAGGTTATCTCTATACAAGTAAAGAGCATATTTATGTTAATTTGGAAGAACCCACCCTAATCACTATTTTTCTGTTTGACAGGTAAGAATTTTCATCACTTTTATCACCACCAGTCCTATCCCCTAAGTATAGCATATTTACATTGTTACCCATCTTCTTCTTTAGTCACATCTGCAAATTCGAATGTTATCCTTCAATCCCAGTTTCTTTTTCTAGCAACCACGGGAGACATCTCCATTCAGTGGTATCAAGAATTTGCCTATCTTATCCTTTTCTCTACTTGTTCTCCTCCCCTTCTAACTCGCAAACTTAATTCACAGTACTTTTAAGTTTCTGTAATCAAAGTTTATAATATTTACATATGGTTATATAAGCAGGGTCGTTGCCCATGACTTAGCTAGAGTTGATTCTAAAAATTGAAAACCAACCCACAACACTTGTCATCTTACAGATATGCAATTATTGTTCTCTGCAGAACCAAGTAATGTGCTGTGATTACATTTCTGTTATTATGTGTGGAATGTGATGATCCTTGTGCCACTCACAGGAGAATCTTTCTCTAGGTTTAAGTTCAAATGGGGTTGCTTTTTCTCTATTCCATTCATTGCCTTTATCGTATTCTCAAAATTTCCCCAGTTCTCAACTGCTGCAGATATTCTGTCAATTTCTCTGTTCTGTGCTCACATCTGAAAATTGTAATCCAAACCTGTTGCTGTCATCCTGGGAATTCTCTTTACTCGTAACTCTTCTGGGTTGGATTTATTGTCTATAGATTCTATATCTCTCCCTATCTTGGCTTATTCTCGTGTTTTGCAAGTAATTTCCTAAGAATAAGTTCATTGGAGGTAAACTTTCTGATTCCTTCAGAATTCTGAAAAATCTTTTACTCTTACATTTGATTGATGCACAAATCATTTGAACATAAAGCAAATTGATGTTAATCAATTTGTTTACAAAGTCACTTGTTTAACAAATATTTAATGAGTCTCTACTGTGTACCATGCACTAGAAAGAAGATGAATAAAGCAAAATGTTGCCCTGGAGTTGTTCATAGCGTAGTGGGAAAGGTTGAATATACACACTTAATTACAATATGATGAAGTAACTGCCCTCACAGCAATATGGAATAAAATATTGAAATAGGTGCTCCAGATAATGAGTATAAAAGCCAATAATAAGTAAAAAGATATGATTACTAGCATTTAAAAAAAGAAATTGCTACATTTTAAATGTTTGATATATCTCACTTAATTCTTACAACAACCCTAAGCTTTTAATCAAACTCCAATATTCTACGTCCCAATAAATGTTCAATAAAAGATAAAACTGTGGCTGATGTCCTTAGAGAGGGTTTCCTGAAGAAGGTGAGGTGGGAACATAGTCTTGGAAGATTTTCAACCTTTGGATAAATATAGACAATGTGGGGGCCAGGATGCTTAAAACTTCCTGGCAGTGGTTGAAATGTATCAAATTCCTTTTTTTTTTCACCTTTAAAATAACTTTCCAAGCACAAGGAAATTTCTTAATGGGGCCAGGGTTGTGTAATGACTCTGAAGGGTCAGCTGCCCAGACCACCAGAGAGCTCTTTCTCTTCTTCCCTGCGCCTGGGTGGTGGCTGGGATGCTCTTCCTTTGTGTCCACCTGGCCTCTGAAGTTTGGCCACTCTGCTGGCGCTGCTCTTCCTGGAGTCTGGGAGCCTTATTAGGCACTTTTCCTGTTTTCACCACCACCTTCCTTCTGTGGTCTAGCCACATGGTCCCCACTGCTAAAGTGACCCACGTACTGCAGTCTGGGAAACATCTCTCCCCTTCTCTTCTGGTGGCTTTCAAAATCTCTTTCTCTCACTCACACACACATACACACAAGCATACCTCTCTTCTTTCTCTGAACCCCAAAGACACAGCCTTTTCCATGAATTCAGGCTCCTAAAAGCATGGGGATCTGTTGACTTAAAGCAACTTCTGTTTTCGGCTCTGTAAAAGTCACCAAGGCAGGAAAATGAGGGAGAGCATAGAGAAACAGAAGTTCTGGGGGCTCTGGGGAGGAGTTTGGCCATGTCTGGTGATATTGAAGATGCACAGGTCATAGGACGCGCAGCCCCACGCGTCCCCACGCTGTCTGCAGCGGCTTCCGTGCTGCTGTGGAGCGTTGAGGAGCTGTGACCGGGACCGTCTGATGCAAAAAGCCTGAAATATTTATTATTTGCTTTGTGGACCCCTGCTCTGGATGCACAATTCATCTTCTAGATACACCCAACTCTCACAGGTGTGTTCTAGAAGACACGTTCCCTACAGCACTGTTTGTAATATTAATATTAAGAAACCTGGAAACGACACGAAGGCTTTTCTGTGAGAGAATGGATGAATGCATCACAGTGCATTCGTGCTCTGGAACACAACAAAGGAAACAAATGAGTGAAGTAGGGCTGAATATAGCAACATAACTACAACCCCCCCCCAGACAAAATGTTGAGAAGATATACATTCCTCGTGATCCATTTATTTAAATTTTAATAAAATCAAAAGACATTATACACAGTTTACCCATATATGTACATAAATAGTGTGTGTCTCTGTGTGTATATATATATCTCTACATAAAAATATGTATATTATATATAGAAAGGGAGAGCGGGAAGCAGGCAGACATTTGTATAGAGTTTAAAAAACACAAAACATTATACATATTGTTCATATATACGTATATGGGTGTGTATGTATTTGTGTGTGTGTGTGTGTAATCTCTGGAAAGGGTAAGGAATATCACTGGTGATGGGAACAAAACATACTCTATCTGTAATATTTTATTTCCATTATTTAAAAAAAAATTGAAATTAAGATGGCCAAAAGACAGGGTCAATATAAGACCCTGTCTTATTTTCAGGGAAACACAGTACCTACCTTTTTTTTGAGACAGGGTCTCACTCTGTTGCCTGGGCTAGAGTGCTGTGGCTTCAGCCTAGCTCACAGGAACCTCAGACTCCTGGGCTCAAGTGATCCTCCAGCCTCAGCCTCCCCAGTAGCGGGGACTACAGGTCCTAGTACTGAGAGGACCTGGAACGTGGTGGGACCACAGCAGAGGCGGCCTGAGGACGTCTGTCCTTACCTGAATCCTCTCTTCTCTGGGCTGAAAAGCCACAGCCTAGCTTCTTCCAAGCAGGGATAGAGGGTCAGAAAATGCAGTTATCACCAGGTGACTTTGTTTCTCTTTGTACACAAACTGAAACAAGCCCTCTTCCCTAATCAAGAGGGGAAATTATTTATTAATTCTGGGTAGTGGGTACATAGATTGTCACTCTATCTTTTTTCCTTGTATTTTAAGAAGCTCCTTAAGAAAACCCACTAAGGGCTTAGCAACTTGTTTGAAATGTAGGCCACGAGGAGGAGGAAGGCAAGAGGAAGAAAGAAGACGGAAACACAAATTAATGGCCCTGGGAGACGTTTCTCCTGGCTCACCTGCGGCTCAGCGGGGAACACAGGGCAGAGGCCCTCTCTCTCTTGAACTCCGAATAAACGCTCAGGGGTGTTCGTCCGTTCACACTGCTGCCGCGGAGGCCCGGGTTTACCGCAGCGTCGCGTCTGGGGCTCCTCTGCGTGACCGCCGCTCCGAGGAGCCGCGTGGGGGCGACTGTGTGTGTTTGTGTCTCGGTCCTCAGAAGTGTCCATAGGGTGCCCTAACGCGGCAGCGTGAAAACAGTCATTTAGCCCAGGCAGTCTCGTGAGAGACGCTCCGAGGGCTGCACAGGCGCCCCACGGTTGGAGCTGGCCTCCTCCCCCATGGTTGGAGCCGGGCTCCCCTCCCACGGTTGGAGCCGCCCCCCCACGGTTGGAGCTGGCCTTCCCCCCCACGGTTGGAGCCGGCCTCCCCCCCCCACGGTTGGAGCCGGCCTCCCCCCCCCACGGTTGGAGCCGGCCTCCCCCCCCCACGGTTGGAGCCGGCCTCCCCTCCCCCACGGTTGGAGCCGGCCTCCCCCCCCACGGTTGGAGCCGCCCCCCCACGGTTGGAGCCGCCCCCCCACGGTTGGAGCGGGGTTCAGCTCCGTTGGCCTGGGGGGAGGAGTCACGCCGGCAGAGGCCTGCTCTAGACAGGAGAGATAGGAAGCATGAAGCTTTTTTAAAAAAGGGATCTTTGGTCTATCCTACCTCTTGAAAAGTTGAAAAAGCAAGTAGACTGCTGTGTTTCATCAACTTGGGCAGAATCGCTGGGTAAGTAGAATTTAAAGGAGCTCTGGGAGAAAGAAAGTGTGTTACCTCACAAACCCAAGGCAAGGGAGCCCAGACACCATTAGACATGAATCCTCGTCCTTAGGTCTTAAAACTTCAAATGTTTAGGGAAGAAAGAGCTGTTATTCCAAACCTTAAATCGTTACAAGGAACGGTAGCCTGCAAAGGATTAAATGCCCTCAAAAATTAAATTCTGACAATATAATTAGAAATGATTTTGATAAAGAAGGAAAGGGGGAAATAGCTCTGAAAATCAATATGGCTAGACTTTCTGATTAATTCTCATTTTAAAAGAACATGAACAAGAGACATAAGGGAGGCATGGTTCAAAGCACAAAGGAGGAAGAGAGGATCAACGTGCGAAAGTAGAAAAGGCTGGTTTGGGAAAAACTCCAACACAGGAGCTTCCTAAGGTGTGTTCAGAACAGGAATTATAAGGAAAATATAAGGCCTCTTCTTGGGGCAAATGTAATAAAGATAACAGACAAAAATAGAATGACGCCAATATTTCTAAAACTTATTTTTTTATTCTGTTTTCTGCATTTTCCAATCTCCAAATTTGAAAGAAATTGAAAATTCTAAAATTGGGAATTGAAAATCTATGGGATAATAATCATATATACGATATGAATATTTTAATTTTTATTCTTTTTCAGGTTTTTGTCATCAGAATCATTCTTGTTCTAAAAAATGAGTTAGCAAGTTTACTATCTTTTTCTATGCTTTGAAGTAGTTTCATTGACATAAGAGTTAACTATTCCTTGAACGTTTGAAAGAATTCACTTACAAAGTTAGTTAAGACTGGGACACTTTGTGCAAGTCTTTAACAATTCTCATTACTATTTCTTCCATTGTTATTACGCTTTTAAAGTTTTCTATGTATTTTGTGTCAATTTTCATAATTTGTGTTTTCCTAGGATATTTTCAGTTTATTAAAATTTAAAAAATATATAGCATTTGTTTAGAGTTTTAAAAAGTTCTCTATCCATGGCTATAAATGAATATAAACAGTAATATCCCTTTTCTCAGACTCTGACTCCTATACTTGTGGTTTCCTGTTTCGATTTAGTTAGCATTATTTCTGTTTTCCTTTTCCCCCCAGTTTATTGATACTTGCTTTATCCTTTTGTTTCCCATTGGATATAGGTATGCATGTGCATTTTTTCTGCATTACTGTTTAGAAGACAGCATGTGTATATTTTTAAGCTTCCTAAATGAAAAGTTTTAATTATTTTTTTCTTTTTTTGAGACAGGAATTCCAGGCTGGAGCACAGTGGCTGATCACAGCTCACTGCAGCCTCAATCTCCTGGCCTCAGGGGATCCTCCTGCCTTGGCCTCCCAAGTAGCTGGGACTACAGCTGTGTGCCATCATGCCTGGCTATAGTTATTTTATTTCTATTCTTTTTAAAACTGATATAAGGAATTTAAGAGTAATTTCCTTTCAAGGTTAGCTTTGGACATACCTCCTAATTTTAAATACCTCCTAACTTTAAATACTATTATTTTCTAAAGAATCTGAAATTACAGTTTTAAAATTTTTTTTATTTCAAAATATTTTTAAATTTACAGAAAAGTTGCCAAAACAGTACAGAGTTCTCCACTTTTAAAAAAATGTAATATAACATCTTCTATCACAATGGTACCGTTATCAAAGCTAAGAAATGAACACTGGTACAATAATACTAAGTGCACTACAGACTTGTTTATTCAGTTTTCCGCTAATGTCTTCCTATCTAGGACCCCACATTGCGTTTAGGGGTCACAACTCCTTGTCTTCCTCCCAACCGGATGGTTCCTCAGTCTTTCTTTGGTTTTCAGGACCTTGATGCTTTTGAAAAGTACTGATCAGTTATTTTGTAGAATGTCCCTCAATGTGGGTTTGTCTGATGTCTCATGATCATACCGAGATGGATTTTTGGCAAGAATGCCAGAGAGGTGACAAGCCCTTGCATAGTGCATTACGTGGGGGCACATGAGGTTGACACGTCTTATTACTGGTGATGTTAACTTTGACCACTTGGGTGAGGTCTGCTGGGTCTCTTCAAAATAAAATCACTATCTTTCCCTTTCTTGTGATTCAGTGGAGATATCTTTAGACTATTCAAATGTTCTACTCCTTTTAAAACTTTTGCCACCTAATTTTATCAACTACTGGTGCATTTTGTCTACAAGTACTACTGTGGTTGTTTTCCATTTTCCTTCTTTCTTTTGCATCTATTAACTGAAATTCTCCCATAGGGAATAACATTCCCTTATCCACTGTTTACTTATTTATTCAATTATTCATTTATATCTCTATGGACTTATACATATACAAATATGTATGGAATATATTTTTTTAAATTTCTTGATTATAATCTAATACTACCGTTGTTTTCTTTTTAGTTCAATTCTTTCCAGTTTTGGCTACTGGTAGGTTTCTCAGACTGGCTCCTGTGTCCTTTTGACATGCCCAAGGTGTTACAGGTTCATCCTGTATTTTTCTAAGCCCTGGCACCTTTTAGTAAAGAATGGTATTTAGAAACCAAGATCTAGGTGCTGCCTGTGCTCATTGTTACTGAGACTTCATTACTTCTAGGACCTCTCAGTGGAAAGAACTTGAGAACACAGCATGGATATGTATTAACCCATGTAGACACAGATAACTCTGTCAATCTATATCCATTAATTAAAAAATATCCCATGAGTTCATACTGATATCTCTAATTCCAATATAACAGCACAAGACTCATTTTAACTTTCTCCTTTTCCTTATTTAAAATTGCTTTCTCAAATAGGAGAAACCTTCTTTCATTACCTAAAATATTATTTATTTGCTTAGCACTAGTATACACATTAAGTAGTCTTAGAATCATTAACCCATCTCACAGTGAGAAAAAAATGCTGATGACTAGGGTACAATATCAGTTATAGTTCTTTTGTCTTTAGCCTTATTTATAAAATACAGTCAAATACTGTTTTCAAAAGTTATTTAGGTAGTTTTCTTTCTTGTTCTCTTCATGGTGGTTACCTTCTTAATTTGTAATGCTGTCATGTTCATGTTTTACAGTTTGTATTTTACTTTGCATTGTCCTCATAATTGATATTTAAACATTTACATATAGTAAATTTACTCATTCTGTTGTACTGGTTTTGACAAATACATACAGCTATGTATCTGCCACTATAAGTATGATGCTGATGAGTTCCACCAGCCCCCCAAAATCTCCTTATGCCGCCCATCTGTGGTCAATCCCTCCTTCCTAGCCAAACCCTGGCAACCACTGATCTGTTTTTTGTTTGCTAGTTTTGCCTTTTCCAGAATAAGCTATAAATGTAACCATACAATATGCAGCATTTTGATTCTGGCTTATTTCCCTTAGAAAAATGCATTTAGATTCATCTGTTTGTTGTATGAATCAGTAGTTTCTCCTTTATATTGTAAAGTAGTGTTCTCTGTTTGGAAGTACCACAATTTGTTTATACATTCATCAGTTGAAGGATATTTGGATTGTTTCTAGTTTTGTGTTATTGTAAATAAACAATTACATATTGGTCTTTGTGTGGACATATGCTTTCATTTCTCTGAAATAAATTCCTAGGAGTGGATTGTAAGGTTAAAATAAGTGTATCTTTACCTTATGGGATATTGCCAACATGTTTCCCAAAATGGTTCAACAATTTTCTATTCCCACCAACAATGAGCGTTCCTATTGTTTGCCATCCATGTCAGCACTTGATGTTGTCAAGTTTTAAAATTTGAGCCATTCTAGTGGATGTGTAGCGGCACCTTATTTTTGTGTTAATGCACATTTCCTAAATAATTGATGCTTTAGAGTGTCTTTGCTAATCATGTGTCTTCTTGGGAGAATGTCTGTTCAAACTTTCTGGGCTTCCACTTGTTCTTATATCCATATTTTATAGCAGGAGCAATTATTCTAGATCTTTTTATTTATTTATTTTTATTTCAGCATATTATGGGGGTACAGATGTTTAGGTTACATATGTTGCCTTCTCCATCCCGGCCCCCCCCCCCGGAGTCGAGTTCAAAGCTGTCCAATCCCTCAGATGGTGCGCATCCACACTCTTGTCTGTGTATAACGCATCCCCTCCTCCCGTTCCACCCTGCCTGATGGCCCGTAAATAGTCTATTCCTATATGTTCCACTTAGGTGTTGATCAGTTAATACCGATTTGTGGGAGTACATGTGGTGCTTATTTCCATTCTTGGGATACTTCACGTTAGTAGGACATGGGCTCCAGATCTATGCCAGGAAAATACAACAGGTTGTTACCAGTCCACTGTGTTTTCTGTAGGTGAATAGACTGCCATGGTATAGCATATACCACATTTTATAATCCACTCATGTACTGAGGGCAGATTGGGTTGTTTCACATCTTTGCATTGTGAAGTTGTGCTGGCTATAAACATTTGAGTAGGCAGACTGTCTTTTTATAGAGTGGCCTTTTTGTTCCCTTTTTGGGTAGATCGCCCAGTAGTGGAATTGTGCTGGATCAAATGGTAGATCTACTGTATCATTTAAGGTATCTCCATACTTGCTTTCCACAGAGGTTGCACTAGTTTTTGCAGTCCCACCGCAATGTGGGAAAGTGTTTATGTTTTCCTATTTCTTCGTATCCATGCCAACCATTTATTGTTTTCGGACTTTTTGATAACAGGCCATTTGTCAACTGTAAACGATAAGTGAATAATCTCAAATTGTAGTTTGAATTTTGCATTTCTTCTGATTCGAACTTAGAGAGAGATGTGCAAGCATTTTTTCATAGTTTTTTGCCATTTCTGTCTTTTTTGAAAAGTTTCTGTTCATGTACTTTGGCCCACTTTTTGTAAGGGGTTGTTTTGATTTTTCTCTTGCTGATTTTCCTGAGTTTTTAAAGATTCTTAATTTATCGCCCTTCATCAGATGCATGGCTTTTGCAACAATTTTCTCCCGCTTTTGTAAGGTTTTGTTCTGTTTGGTTTGGTATTCATAACAGTTTTT